TGGCTGGGTGCAGTGGCTCATGCCTGTAATCCCAGCACTTTGGGAGGCCGAGGTGGGTGGATCGCCTGAGATCAGGAGTTCAAGACCAGCCTGGCCAATACGATGAAAACCTGCCTCTACTAAAAATACAAAAATTAGCCAGGCATGGTGGCGGGTGCCTGTAATCCCAGCTACTCAGGAAGCTGAGGCAGGAGAATCACTTGAGTCCAGGAGGTGGAGGTTGTAGTGAGCCGAGATCACACCACTGCACTCCAGCCTGAACAACAATAGCAAAACTCTGTCTCAAAAAAAAAAAAAAAAAAAAGATGTACCTACCTTAATTTTAAAATACTTTAATGCTAATGATCATCAGAGCCTTCAGCAAATTATAATCTTTTTTTCTGGTGGAGGGTCTTGCCTCATTGTTGATGGCTGCTGACTGATCAGGGTACTGATTGCTGAAGGTTGGGGTGGCTGTGGCAATTTCTTAACATAAGACAACAATGAAGTTTGCTGCATCAATGGACTCTTTCATGGAAGATTTATCTGTAGCATGCAATGCTATCTGATAGCATTTGACCTACAGTAGAATTTCTTTCAAAATTGGAGTCAGTCCTCTCAAACCATACTACTGCTTTATTGACTGTTTCTGTAATGCTCTATATCGGTTGCCATTTGAATAATGGTCACAACATCTTCCCTAGGAGAAGATTTCTTACCAAGAAACCACTTTCTTTGTTGATCTTTAAGAAGCAGCTACTCGTCTCTTCAAGTTTGATCGTGAGATTGGCAGCAATTCAGTCCCATCTTCAGGCTCCACTTCTAGTTCTCTTGCTATTTCCATGACATCTGCAGTTACTTCTTCCACAGAACTTTTAAACCCCTTCAAGTCATCTGTGAAAGGGTTAGCACCAACTTTTTTCAAACTCCTGTTAATGTTCATATTTTGACCTCCTCTCATGAATCATGAATGTTCTTAATGGCATCTAGAATAGTGAATCCTTTCCAGAAGATTTCCAATTAACTTTTTCCAGATCCATCAGAGGAATCACTATCCATGGCAGCCATAGCCCTATGGAATGACTCCTTGATCCATGGGTTGCATGCAGAATGGATGTTGTGTTAGCATGCCTGAAAACAATGTTAATCTCCTTGTACATCTCCATTAGTACTCTTGGGTGGCCAGGTGTGTTGTCATTGAGCAGTAATAATTTGAAAGGAAAGGTATCTTTTTTTTTTTTTTTTTTTTTGAGCAGTAGATCTCAAGAGTGGGCTTAAAATATTCAGTATACCATCCTGTAAAAGGATGTGCTGTCATCCAAGCTTTGTAGTTCTATTTCTAGAGCACAGCCAGAGTAGATTTAAAATAATTCTTAAAGGCCCTAGGATTTTTGGAGTGGTACGTGAACATTGTCTTCAACTTAAAATCACCAGCTGCATTAGCCCCTAACAAGAGAATCAACCTGCCCTTTGAATAATTTTTTTAATGGAATGCTTCACTAATTTGCATGTCATCCTTGTGCAGGGACCATGCTAATCTTCTCTGTATCACTTCAGTTTTTATAGTATATGTGCTGCCAAAGCGATTACCCTTTGAAGTTTCAAAGCCAGTCACTGCCTTTTTATCTCAAGTTGTAAAGGTCCTAGATAACATCTTCTTCCAGTATAACATTTTTTTCCCCCACTGAAAATCTGTTATTAGGATAGCCACCTTTCGTCAATTATCTCAGGTAGATCTGGACAGCTTGCTGCAGCTTCTGCATTAGCACTTGCTGCTTCCCCTTACGTTTTTATGTTCTGGAGGTGGCTTTTTTTCTTAAACCTAGCCTCTGCTAGCTTTCAAATTTTCTTCTGTAGCTTTCTTACCTATCTCAGTCTTCATAGGCTTGAACAGTTAGGGTGTTGGCTTGGATAAGGCTTTGGCTTATAGGAATGTTGTGGCTGGTTTGATCCTCTACCCAGACCAGTAAAACTTACTCCATATCAGCAATAAAGTTGTTTTACTTGCTCAGCATTGTGCGTTCACTCAAGTAGCACTTTTAATTTCCTCCAAGAACTCTTCCTTTGCATTCACAACTTGGCCAACTGTTTGGCACAAGACAGCTAGCGTTCATTCTATACAGACTTTCAAAACACCTTCCTCACTAACCATACTCATTTCTGGTATTTGATTTAAAGTGAGAGACTGGGTTCAGTGGTCCACTCCTGTAATCCCAGCACTTTGGGAGGCCGAGGAGAGCAGATCACCTGAAGTCAGGAGTTTGGGATCAGCCTGGCCAAATGGCAAAAACCCATCTCTACTAAAAATACAAAAATTAGGTGGACATAGTTGCACACACCTGTAGTCCCAGCTACTTGGGAGGCTGGGGCAGGAGAATCTCTGGAACCTAAGAGGCAGAGGTTGCAGTGAGCCGAGATTATGCCACTGCACTCCAGCCTGGACAATGGAGCAAGACGCCATCTAAAAATATATATATATGTATATATATATATTTAAAATATTGTGAGAATTACCAAAATGTGACACAGAGACACAAAGTGAGCACATGCTGTTGGGAAAATGGTATCAATAAATTCACCTGATGCAGGGTTGCCACAAACCTTCAATTTGTGAAAAGCACAGTATGTGCAGAGTGCCTGTATTTGAAAGTGGACTTGAATTCGTTGTAAACGTATATTGCCAATTCTAGAGCAACCACTTTAAAGATTTTAAGAAGAGGCATAAATGACCAAGTGCACTGAATCGTGCCTGTAATCCCAACACTTTGGGAAGTGAAAGGAGGAGGACTGCTTGAGCCTGGGAGTTCAAGGCCAGTCTGGGGAATATACTGAGACCCTGTCTCTACAAAAAAATTAAAAACTAGCCAGGCACAGTGACATGCACCTATAGTCCCAGCTGTTCAGGAGGCTGGAGCAGAATTACTAGAGCCGGGGAGTTAGAGGCTGCAGTGAGCCGTGATCACACAACTGCACTCCAGCCTGGGCTACAGAGTGAGACTCCCCCTTAAAAAAAATAAAGCTGCATAATTGATATACTAAGAAAGAAGACCAAATGGTACCATACATTACAACATAATTCCATAATATATCATATATATGTATATATCATTATATAACTATATCATAATAAAATGTTCAATACCTCAAAAGTCAGAAGAAGTATGGAAGACAGAAATAGGAACAAATAGCAAGGGCAATAAATAGAAAATAGTCACAGGTATCACAGATATTAATCCAATTATATTAATAATCACTTTAAATGTCAGCGGTCTAAATATTCCAATTAAAAGACAGATTGCCAGAGTGGATCAAAAAATAAGACCCAGCTATATATTGTCTACAAGAAACTCTTTTAAAACATAGGCACATATAGATTAAAAGTAAAGGGATGGAGAAAGATATACCATGCTAACCCTAATCAAAAGATAATATGGGTTGTTGGAGTGCAGTGCTATTTGCAACAAATGCATCATAACTGGTTACAGATTTCTTTGTTCCCTCTCTCCACTCCCATTGCTTCACTTGACTAGCTTTGAAAAAAGAAAGGAAAAAGGAAGAAAGAAGGAGAGGAAGAAAGAAAAGAAAAGAAAGAAAGAAGGAAGTAAGGAGGAGAAGAGGAGGAGGAGAAGACAAAGATGAAGAAGAAGAGGGAAGGGAGGAAGGAAGGAAGTAGGTATGGCTCTTGGATTGTGACATCAACAAGATGGTGGAATAGGTCTTGCCAGCACTAATATTCTCATAGAAACATCTCTCTGAACAACTCTCCATAAATGAAAATATCATAAGAATGAGAGATTATAGCACCTGTGTGTAGCACAGAACTACAGTAGGACCCACTGAAGAAAGTAGGAAGAACGGTTTCACATTTTCTGCATCACATCACCCCTCCAAGCTAAGCAACACAGCATGGAGCAAGATATCCTCCAAGTCGGGGAAGGAGAGTAAAGTGAGTCCCAGACTTTGCCACAGACCCAGCACCAGCATTGCTCCAGTGAAACTCAGTGCCAGGCTGGCCCACAGAGCCCTAGGCTCCAAGCTGGTACCTGCAGACTAAGCCTCCTGGCCTGCCCCAGTGACAGACTAAGCTCCATAACTCCAGGCTCCAGGCCAGTCCCCACAGATAGAGACTCCAAGCCACCCAGAGCCAGGCCAGTCCCTGCTGCTCCAGGCTCCAGGCTGCCCGCATAACTCCATGCTCCAGCAAACCCAGGATACAAGCCAACGCTAGGAGACTCCAGTCCCTCATACCCCAGACACGAGGGGTGAGCACCCTAACGTATACTATGGACCTTAGGTGGTAATGGTGTGTCTATGTGGATTCACCAGTTATAACAAATGCACCACTCTGGTGCAGGATGTCCCTTGTAGGGGAGGTTGTGCATCTGTGGGGATTGACTTTCTATACTTTCCACTCAATTTTGCTATGAACATAAAACTGCTCTAAAAATAAAGTTTGTTAAATTAAGAAAACATCAGTGAGTAGGACTTATATGTGCTTGTATGAAAATAGGATATTTTTATGTGTTTATATGAAAATATCTTCTATTATATAATGTTTCCATCTATCTAAAAATATGTAGTATATATTTGTAGAAAATTTCTGAAACCATACCTATGAAATGATTCACAGTATTTGCACTATGAGGTGAGGGATAGAATATAGTCTAAGCTCCATGAAATCTCCTTTTAAACTTTTTACATTTCTAACATGCACACATATTAATTTCTAATAAGAAAATGTTTTTAAAAAGCGAGAAAAGAAGTAACTTGTGACAATTAGGGAAATGTGAATATAGACTGTATGTTAGATGATATTGAATTAAAAGTCTCCTTAAAAACATGTGTATCCACCATGGAATACTATGCAGCCAAAAAAAGGAATTATGTCATTTCTCTTGTGGAAACATGGATGGAGCTAGCGGCCCTTATCCTTAGCAAACTAATGCAGTAACAGAAAACCAAATACCATATGTTCTCACTTAGAAGTGGAAGCTAAATGAGGAGAACTTATGAATACAAAGAAGAGAACACCAGACAGTGGGGCCTCCTTGAGAGTGGAGGGTGGGAGGAGGAAGAAGAGTAGAAAAAAATAACTAATGGGTACGAGGCTTAATACCTGGGTAATGAAATAATCCGTACAACAAACCACCATGACACAAGTTTATCTCTATAACAAACCTGCACATGTACCTCCAAACCTAAAATAAAAGTTAAAATAGATAAATAAATAATAAATGAAAAAATTAAAATACAAAAAACTTTATCAGGTAGAGACAAAAAGTGATGCAAAATATAAATATTTAGTGAATCTAGGTGAAGAGTATACATGTATTCATTGTTTTCTTCTTTCAAATTTTCTATGGGCTTGAAATTTTATTTTCAAAACAAACCAAAAAGAAATCATACCTGCAATCTCAAGATTGTAAAATATCTTGAAGTTCTTTTTTTTTTTTTTTTTTTTTTGAGATGGAGTTTTGCTCTTGTTGCCCAAACTGGAGTGCAATAGTGCCATCTTGGTTCACTGCAACCTCCGCTTCAAGTGATTCTCCTGCCTCAGCTTCCCAAGTAGCTGAGATTATAGGCATGCACCATCATGCCTGGATAATTTTTTGTATTTTTAGTAGAAACAGGGTTTCACCATGTTAGCCAGGCTGGTCTCGAACTCCTGACCTGAGGTGATCCACCCACCTGGGCCGTCCAAAGTGCTGGGATTACAGGCATGAGCCACCACACCCAGCCCAGTCTCTTGAAGTACTAAGCAACTTCTTCAATTTTTTTGATGAAGAATAGGCTGCAGTATAAATGTGGAAAGCTTCAAATGACCTCATTCACCCACATAAACTGATCTGTGCAACTGCTGCACATTATTTTGTAAAAATGAAACATTCATTGACAAAGGAAATAGATTATTAACTTTCAATTAAATGTGATAATAAAGGGAATTTGGTAATCTTGTGAGGCCTGATTATCAAGCAAACAAAATAAACCAGAAAGATACAGGATATTTTCAGGAAATGCACTTACCCAATTATCTCCATGACTTATTTTCATATTTCCAGTTTCAAGAGAAAAAATTATCTCCCCTAACTTCTCTCAAATTCAAGCACTGAAAATCACTGTAAAAGATGTCATGATATTTTCTTTATACTAATTTGTGATGAGCATTACTGTATCGTGTGTGAGAAAACCTTTTTGTACAAGATTTCTACATCATGGAAAAGTTAAATAAGTTTTCACATATAATACTAATTTGTAAGTACATCAGAGGCATAGCGTTCATTACAATTTCAGCATTATTTGTCAATCAGTTTAGTTATGAAGGAGAAAGGGGAGACACTATGTTTGACAGATGCAGATACGCCATCCTAGCCAATTATATAGGATTTCTCTTAAGTCAAAGACATTGAGAGCTCCTACTTCAGCATAGCAGCTGGAACAATAATGTATAATACTACAAGAGGCAGTAGTCACACTGCCAATTAGTTGCAGAGATAGGACTTGAACTGTTTTTGCAAGTCACTCAAATAACTCTGCTCAAAGAATGCGTGTTTTATCCTCTAGGAATCAATAGATTTCTTTCTGTCTGCAGAAAGGAAATGAAAGCCATCTGCATCATCGTTTAAACCGTATGCACATCTCTTAGCAAAGGTAGGAGATAGGCTTTATTTTAACATATCTAAATCCAATATCATTCCCATATGTGTTCCCATTGAATGATTCTAATAAATCACCGGGTCGAACAAATTATTCTTGATGAATGTTAACAAAGGTAGTAAATGTCTTCATTTAGATTACATATTTCTCAAGGGCAGGGACTGTATCTTACACCTCTTGATGGCTCTCTTACCAGCACAGCATCGTACAGATTCGATAAAAGATGTTAGTGATGATATTTAAAATAATGATAATGTTGACAATCACTTCCTGCAATGAAAATAAAGAGAACTGCTAAATCTAGCAACGCAACAGAATTTGGGGAAGACAATACAGTTTTACAGTTTTTCTTTTTAGTTTTTAAAAAACATTTCCTGAATAAAGTCTATTGTTTGAAGAGTTTAGCAAAGGTTATAAAATTTAATTAACTCAGAAAGAGTGAAGAATACTTGACAAGATTTTATTTTCCCTTCATAATTGCAATCGATACGATAAAATTGTCCTCAAGCAGTCATTCCTGTCACATTAGCATAAGCAGTTAGTTTGAAGTCTCAGATGATATATTCTCACATTGTTTCATATTTCTTGACTGTTAAGGTTAATAGAAAGGGCCTACATTCATTAGAATAACATTGTACTAAAAATATAATCTGACCCAATTAGTGAAAGCAGTTCTTGTCTGCTGTACGTGGTAATTCCAGTTGCAGGCAGCAGAGGTAGTTGTTTTCACAGGAAACAAGAGATACTAATTATTCATGAGAGTTACTCTCCTAATTTTAATTTCAAATGTTAAAATCTTACATACTACTGATCTTTTGTATTATAATTTCTTTCTCTGTCTGTCCTTTTGCCCTTTCTTTGGCAAATTATGTTTTGTCATAAAGGTCAACACTGTTAATTACTTTTTGTTTACTCGCTTTTTAACTCTCCAATTGAGTCCCCAATTACTGTGACAAGCACAAATATCCCAGGGGGGACACTATTACAATTAGAACACTTTATAAAATGACAGTTTTTTCTTGCTCCTGTAAGAAGATTACAAATTGAATGTTGAATAATCATGATGCAGAAAGTACTGTGGGACGTGGCATGGGAAAAATAAAGATGAACACATTTACCCCAGGATAAGAGGTTTAAACCAAGAGCTTGTGGATAACGAATTCAAAACATTCACCTCTTAAAACTATTTAATTCCAAATCCTTTCACATGACTATCTTAGTGTCATGGTGTTCTGAGATCAATCTTTAGTGTTCATGTTCAAAAGGACAAGCACCAAATATCCATGTTGACCTGTTTCTTTCCTTTCTTCTCCAGCTAATATGGCTGCTAGAGCAGTTAGCTGTTCATTGCATAATCAGTGGGACTCGGCCTGAATTGCTAAACTACTCTCATCCTTAATATTGCCAAGAGTAAAGAAAAATGAAAATAAATCAAATGAACTTTGGAGGATTAGAGTGGTGACCCAGGGAGATCTGGAACATGAAAGTATCGCTACAATGCCTGGCACTTACAGGTGATAAATAAGTATTTGTTCTTTTTCTCTTTCTGAGTGTCTCCCAGCAGCACATCTACTAGCTGAAATATCTAGACATTCGAGGAATATCCAGATTTCGCAAGGGTATGGCAAACAGAAATAACAATACCAGACTGATGCCAATGATAATTGTAGCTGCTACTTTGCTGACTTCACAGCTTATCTGTGAGATAATGTTTTCCTTCCTTCCTTCCTTTCTTTTTTGAGACAGGGTCTCATTCTGTTGCCTAGGCTGGAGTGCAGTGGCACGATCTCGACTCACTGCATCCTCCGCCTCCCAGGTTCAAGTGATTCTCCTGCCTGAGCCTCCCCAGTAGCTGAGATTACAGGCGCGCTCCACCACGCCCGACTAATTTTTCGTATTTTTAGCAGAGACAGGGTTTTACCATGTTGGCCAGGCTGGTCTTGAACTCCTGACCTCAAGTGATCCACCTGCCTCTTCTCCCAAAGTGCTAGGATTACAGGCGTGAGCCACTGCGCCCAGTCTGAGATAATGTTTTTCTATTTAACTTATATCCCTTCCCCTGATCTGCTCCTCAACCTCTACTGCCACTCTGACAATCGTAACATCCCAAGGCTCATTTCCCATCGAGTACCCTACTTTCATCAGGTTCAGCTGCTAAAAAAAGTTGGAGCTATCACATAGCAAAGCACACAAATGCTGATAAAGGAATAATTTAATTGATACACTGAGAGTAAAGGCAGAAATGACAATAGCTATTTGACATATTTCATTTTTCTCATATGTAAAAATTGGGCAAGATTTTTAAGAAAGAACAAGTAATTTCAATTACTTTAATTATGGTAAAAATCATTTTAAGACTTTGCCAAAGAGGCAAGAGATGGTGACAGTATTCTATTAAACTAGGCCATTGATTGTTTATCATGTCCATGATGAACTGTAACATTTTTACTTCACTGAAGTAGATATGAGTATGTGCTGTCTCCATATGTTTGAAATCCTAGGCAAATTAGTAAGAATTGTTTTTACCCTCTTTAAATAGAGGGAACAAATAAATAATAGAACCAGAAAGGGTTTCTGTTATGCTGATCCTGCACTCAGTTAAAAATTAATATAGAAAAATCAAATTACAACACAAAAGCTATATCGAAGAAAGCCTTTGTTTTACCTTGATTAGAGTAAAAGACTTTTACCAAAGTGGGAGTAGCAAGTGCTAACGTAACTGTAACATTTTGGAATAGGCTTACCAAAAACATGCCTTCTGGGTCATTTGTATTCAGTGAATTTTTTTTCTGATATGATAGATAATATTTTACAGTGCACATGTATGACCTGACTTTATTTTTGCTGCTGAGCTCAAGAGAATACAATTAAATCTAACAATTACTAGAGCTCAACAACACTAAATAGCTAAACAGCTGAAGTAGTATTGATTAACTACTCATGAGAATATAATCCTGATGATAATTTAACATTATTTGGTAAAGGGCTTAATTTGCTGTCTAAAAATTATTTGCAACTAGAAAGTCTTACTCCAAATAATGTTGTATTGTGTTATGTAGAAGCAAAAAATTACTGTGAAATGGCTGGAGGCAAAAACTGAATAACTCTGAGCCCAGCAAGTCATAACATTTCAATATAATCTAATGAGTAGAGTGAATCAGTAATGCAGAATCATTGTCGCCTGTTTTTTTCTCTTCTCCCTGGCACTACAGCAAAGCAAAAAGATTGGAATATTGAGCATTTCAGCAAGGAGCCAAGGTAATTTAAATTTTTATTGCTACATTTAGTCCTTGGCTTTAAACAAGCCAAAAAAGAACCCTCAGAAAAAGTAATTTACTAAATCATGGCACCAATCAAATCGTGAACAACCAAACTGCA